ATATGTCGTTAATAATAGGGGCGAATAATAGGAAGTAGGAATAAAGTAGTATATATATATATATATATATATAGGTTAGGACGATCATTAGCGCGTTCGTTACTGTCACGGATAATTATCGGATTTTATATTTACAAGATCGAATCGATCGAATACGTTTTATTATTTTCGAATTTATAATGTCTGGATGATGAAAAAATTACAGTTGACGCGTTCGCGATTGTTTTTTTTTTTTTTTTCCAATTCAGACACCTCGCAATTCAACACAAATTGTTAAGATTCAATTAGTTATTCGTCATAGATTAATGGTATTCAATTTGCCGCGGAAATAATGTTCTCTGTTCTCTGTGTATTACGATGTAACGGCTGCGCTTTGAAATTCAAATATATACATAACACGAACAGGAAAGCTAAAAGTTGATTGATAACCGCGTGATTTCTTCATCATCGATTCTCGCGTTCCTCGATGCACAGCTGCGTGGCTAAAATCTATTCAATCCTTTACACTTTGGAATTCAACGATTCATTCGAGCATGCAAAACAATCTAGGCAATCGCATCTCTGTACATCTCGGAAGAATTCGTTTCGCTAAACAAACAAATTTTTCTTAACAACATATACGTATACATATATATCGTTTAAATCATTCTTCGCAAAAAATCGACGAATTTTAGGAATAACGAATATTATTAATATTAACTTTACTTTACAAAAAAAAAAAGAAAGAAAGAACAAGAGAATTTAATAAATAACAATAATAATATAAAAAATTCTTCGAAACGGTGTAAAAATATGGATCGTTATTAAAAAAAAAAAAAAAAAAAAGAACGAGAAGGAGATGAAAAATAATGGCGCGGATGTTTGTGTTGGAAGATAATGCGCACAATGGACGAATGAAAAAAATTTATGCAGGAACGCGGAGGATTCATCCGTATACATTTTTAGCGTTCCCAATTATTCAATTACGGGAACGATAATCGGTCCCGGGAAAAAGATAAATGCGTCGTTTAAGGAATGTGTGTTATAGTCCGCGGGGATCAGAGGTGAGTCCCGTTCCCTCAATGAACAATGATTAGTGTGTTTCACTGAAATCCCATATATATTGACACGAGGCACGCGCAATGGATGGATTTTGCGCGAATCGTCGAGTCACGATCCGTGGAGGAATCACGGAGGAGAATAGAGTCCGAGTCGAGGTGCACCGTCTCGCGCACTATCTCGGTTCAGCATCGAGTTCCTTCCTCGTTACGTAAGGATTCGATTTCCTATTGATCGATTTTATCGATGAGTCGCGCGCTCCTCATCGAAACCATTCCTATTAGAGAAACAATATACGCCTTTGACCGTCTCTAACGTCGCTGCTTCCTGCTCTTTGCCAATTAACACTCTTCGTCCTTATCGCCGATTCCCAGATCCCCGTGTACACTTGGGCTCAAAAGTAATACGATACGATACGACTTTTCTTCTCTTTCCAAATTTCTTCGGAGGATACGTTCGCGGAAATCGTTTCACGTTTTACGGAAGGGAACGCGTCCACTCGAATATTCGTGCACTCCCCCCCTCTTCGTATTCGTTTCGTTATCTCCATCTCTGGTAACTCGATCGCTTATTCCTTCGCGAGAATTCGGTAATTTTCGGATGGACGTACGCCGAGTAAGAAAAATATTTGAAGTTTCGTCGAAGTAGAGGGAAGAGGCATCGGTGAAGGAGATGTTGTTTTGATCAGCGAGATAATTCCCATGTGACGTGTGTTTTCCGCTCGCCGTCCACACATACTGCGTGTTAACGTGTAATGAGTGACGCGAGTTTTTCCTTGATATATGCAAGGAAAATTGCATAGATATTAGTGACACCGAGCATTTAGCGGGTAATGCGCGTTGCAATGCTTATTGTTAGTCAGGAGGTAACATTAGAGCTAGAATAGAGGATGTTTGACACATTGTTTTGAAAGCCTAATATACACCCATTTTGCTTCGCTTATTTTTCAACCGTTGTAAACGCGAATGAATTTGATTATTTTTCTTTCTTTCTTTTCTTTTCAACAAAAAAGATTTCTAACTTTTCGATCTTCTTCTCGAAGAAAAGATGGGAAATAATATACGATTATGAAATTTTTAACAATTTGTTGCAGAACAAGGGAGTTGCAATACGTAGACGCAGTGAACACGACGACAGGAAAGGAAGGGTGGTTGACTTTAAATATTAGCGAATCCCTCTCCCATTGGGTGAATAATCCTGACGGAAACAAGGGATTATATCTATCGGTACATCCCGCGGATCGTTCTGGTGAGTAAAAGAAAAAAAAAAAGTCTATTCTCATTTTTCGTTTATTTTCATACTCTCTCGTTTTTACGATTCTTTTTTTTTTTTTTTTTTTTTTCTTAAAATTAAAGAGAAGAAACATTCGTATTCGATACAACGTGGAGGGCTAATTTTAAAATGTCTGTGATTTATCTCTCGATAAGTCTGTGAAACATCGAGGAGGAACGGTGGTACATCCTGTACGCTTACCAACTTCAATGCGATCAACACGATACATGTTTCCGTTTATATTTCACGAGAGACTCGTCGTTTAAGAATTTTGCGTTCAAAGAATTTTGCCAACTTTGTCAATTTTGCCCCCATCAATTTTTTCAAAAAGTTTCAAACATCCCGAAGAATCAACGAACGTTTTATTTCATAAATTCCAAATTATCTCTCGATGGATTCGTATAAATGGAATTTCATTCGTCAAATTTCGACGAAATTCCAAAAAGTTCTCTAACGATGAATGAACTTTTATTCCGCAAACTTTAATCATACGAATTTTCGATGAACAAACGATGGAATTGTATTCGTTATTAATTTTGAAAAATTTAAAAAAAATAAAGATACTTTCGAAAATCGGAAAGATAAATCGAAAAGAACGTTCGAGGATCATTTTACACACGAGAGAGGGAGAGAGAGAAGAACGCGCGCGCGCGCGCGCGTATGTATGTCGAACAACACACACACACACACAAGAGGCGGCACACGCTTCGTATCGAGCGATAGATCGTGGCTAATAAACTTACTTCGGGGTCACAAGTTCGACGCGGTGAATTCCGATCGTTTCTCGTACACCTGGCACCCGAGGAGAAGGATGTGTACGGGATATATGCTTTCTCGAGCGTGCACCTGTTCCACGCTCTCACTCACCGACGCTGAAAAGCGTTCCTCGCTCTCGTACACACCGTGTCTCGCCCCCTATGTAACACCGATCCGCTAGCGATGGCTTCGTACCAGGCCTGCCTTTCCACCTTTCCGCTCCATTTCCATCTTCCTCTCCGATCTCGCTCGTGCACGCGTCCAACCCGTTCCAATCCGCCATCATTTTTCCATTTCCACGCCTCGCCCGTCCCACCGATTTTCCCAACCGCGTTTCTACGTTCTACCCCAATTATAGAAACGATTCGTGCGAATATAGAACTTTTCGAAATTTCGCGAAATTCAACTTTGAAACTTTCGAAGAAGAAACAAATTTCCAAAAGAATCGTACGGTGTCGAAGATTATTCGAGAAGAGAATTTTTTTTTTCCCCACTCGAAATAGAGAAACGTAGATTTTTGGGTAGTGGGAAGGAAAAAAAAAATTAAACAAAAGGAGAGGAAAAGAAGAATCGTTGGCGGATCGAGATGTTGCTCGGTCCTCGCGAGTTTTCGTGCGTCACTCGAGGTCCTTCCTACTCGAGGCAACCACCACGAATACATCATCGGAGAGACGAGAGAGGCCAAGCCGTGGCGTCGTCTTGTCTTCCTATACTGGCGAGATGCGCGTGCGTGGGATATTCAGCCCGAGGAACGGACGAGAAGCGGGACGGCGGGACCACGTTCGAGGAACGAGAGAGAGAGAGAGA